TGGGATTGACATGTATACACTGATGTATATAAAATTGATGACTAATAAGAACCTGCTGTATAAAAAAATAAAAATTTAAAAATTTTAAAAAAACTAATTAAAAAAAAGGGAGGATGTAGATGGAATAGAATTGAGGAAATTATCAAAGAATTAATACAAGAAAAATTTTCCAAAACTGAAGGACATGTGTCTCCATGTCCTTCATTAAATGCTATGAATAAAGGAAAAAGTCAGAGGAGAGGAATATCTGATTCTACAACACCCGAAAACAAATTTTATTTTACATGGTTGTTCCAAGAATTGAACTCAAGGATATTGCCTATGTACTTACAGTGCCTGACATATATTAATAGTAAGTGCAAGAAAATTATTAAAGGACTTCCCTGGTGGCACAGTGATTAAGAATCTGCCTGCCAATGCAGGGACACGGGTTCAAGCTCTGGTCCAGGAAGAGCCCACATGCCACGGAGCCACTAAGCCTGTGCACCACAACTACTGAGCCTGCACTCTACAGCCCATGAGCCACAAATACTGAGCCCGTGCGCCACAGCTACTGAAGCCTGCATGCCTAGAGCCCATGCTCCACATCAAGAGAAGCCACCGCAAAGAGAAGCACGCACACCGCAGCAAAGAGTAGCCCCTGCTCACCGCAACTAGAAAAAGCCTGTGCGCGAAGACCCAATGAAGCCAAAACTAAATAAATAAATACATTTTTCTTTTTTAAAAAAGAAAATTATTCAATTGAGATGCTTGCATTAGTTTGTACCAGTTTTAAATCATCAAATGGTTTCTTCATTTGATCTATGTTGGTTGAGTGATAGCACTAACAGAGTCCAGTCTTCATGTATCTATTTTATAGCTTCTCACAGAGAGTCTTTGCTGATCATCTGCTGAGCCCTGGGAATCAACTTTTCCAAACAGGCCAGTTTAAGCTGAAGAGAAGCATCCAGGACTGAAAGAGCATAGTACAGAGTTCAATGTAGGGTGCAAACAATTCAGTTGCTCAGCAATCTTAGCTTAGAGCTAAGCTGCAACTAAGCCCCATCCCTATTTTGGGTGCTCAGTTCTGCACAAAGATCCCTTATTTTTATTGGATACAAAGAAGTGGAACTGAGCATTAAGAGAGTTACCTTGTCTCTAAAACCCCAAACTCACAGCATTACCACAATTAACAAAACCCAAATCAGTAACCATGCTTCCTGCTTAATCCTCTAATTTAATACAACACAAATTCATGCATCTTCTCTATCACAAGTTATTTAAATTAGCTAATAAATGCACGGGCAGTGACCTCTCTGCTTATTTTTGTGCTTGGCTTGGAATTAGCTCTTCCATCATTTTTGTTTGTTTGTTTGTTTTGTATTTTTAATTTAATTTTTATTTTATATTGGAGTATAATTGATTTACAATGTTGTGTTAGTTTCCGGTGTCCAGCAAAGTGATTCAGTTATACATACACATATATCCATTCCTTTTCAGATTATTTTCCCATATAGCTTATTACAGAATATTGAGTACAGTTCCCTGTGGGTCCTTGTTGACTATTTATTTTATATATAGTAGTGTGTATATGTTACTCCCAACCTCCTAATTTATCCCTGCCCCCAACCTTTCCCCTTTGGTAACCATAAGTTTGTTTTCAAAGTCTGTGAGTCTGTTTCTGTTTCATAAATAAGTTCATTTGTATCACTTTTTTAGATTCCACATGTGATATCATGATATATGTCTCTGTCTGACTTACTTCACTTAGTATGATAATCTCTAGGTCCATCCATGTGGCATTATTCCATTCTTTTTTATGGCTTAGTAATATTCCATTGTATATATGTACCATATATTTTTTTTAAAATCTTTTTTCTTTAATCTTTTTTTTTAAACTGGGCCATAGCTGTTTTACAGTGTTGTGTTAGTTTCTACTGTACAGCGAAGTGGAGTTCCCTGTGCTATACAGCAGGTTCTCATTAGTTATCTATTTTATACCTATTAGTGTATATGTGTCAATCCCAATCTCCCAGTTGTCCTCACCTGCCCTTTCCCCCCTTGGTGTCCATATGTTTGTTCTCTACATCTATGTCTCTATTTCTGCTTTGCAAGCCAGTTTGTACCATTTTTCTAGATTACAAATATATGCATTAATATGTGTTTTTCTCTTCCTGACTTACTTCACTGTGTATGACAGTCTCTAGGTCCAACCATGTCTCTACAAATGACCCAATTTCGTTCCTTTTTATGACTGAGTAATATTCCATCATATATATGTACCACATTTTCTTTATCCATTCATCTGTCGATGGACATTTAGGTTGCTTCCATGACCTGGCTATTGTAAATAGTGCTGCAGCGAACACTGGGGTTCATGTGTCTGTTTGAATTATGGTTTTCTCAGGGTATATGCCCAGTAGTGGGATTGCTGGGTCATATGGTAGTTCTATTTTTAGTTTTTTAAGGAACCTCCATACTGTTCTCCATAGTGGCTGTATCAATTTACATTCCCACCAACAGTGCAAGAGGGTTCCCTTTTCTCCACACCCTCTCCAGCATTTATTGTTTATAGATTTTTTGATCATGGCCATTCTGACTGGTGTGAGGTGATACCTCACTGTAGTTTTGATTTGCATTTCTCTAATAATTAGTGATGTTGAGCATCTTTTCATGTGTTTTTTGGGCCATCTGTATGTCTTTGTTGAAGAAATGTCTATTTAGATCTTCTGCCCATTTTTTGCTTGGGGTTGTTTGTTGTTTTGATATTGAGCTGCATGAGCTGTTTGTATATTTTGGAGATTAATCCCTTGTCAGTTTCATTGTTTGCAAATTATTTTCTCCCATTCTGTGTATTGTCTTTTGTTTTGTGTATGGTTTCCTTTGCTGTGCAAAAGCTTTTAAGTTTGATTAGGTACCATTTGTTTATTTTTATCTTTATCTTCATTACTCTAGGAGGTAGATACAAAAAGATATTGCAGGGATTTATGTCAAAGTGTGTTCTGCCTATGTTTTCCTCTAAGAGTTTTATAATATCCAGTCTTACATCTAAGTCTTCAATTTATTTCAAGTTTTTGTGCAAGGTGTTACGGAGTATTCTAATTTCATTCTTTTATATGTAGCTGTCCAGTTTTCCCAGCACCACTTACTGAAGAGGCTGTCTTTTCTCCATTGTATATTCTTGCCTGTAACAACCTCGTTTAACAGAGGAAGAAAACAAGAGGTTGAATGAGATCCAGGACAATGTGTAGTGAGTGAAAAAGCCCAAGTCTCCTGAATTCTGGTCCAGTACCTCCAGTACCCTTTATCATATTCTGGCTTGATTAACTTCACTTGTTCTTCCTTCTGTCCTCTGTTGCACACTTTTATTTACTCAGGATCAGTTGAGTAGCTATTTTCTTACTTTTGTCCATATCCGTGGAAAATTTGATGTGAATTCACTGAATAAAATTACCTTTAGGTTTAATGAGAGTAATCTCTGACTTTATAAAACAGACATAAAGTTCCATGCTGATAGCTTTGCTCTAGGCTTTATGAAGAGTAGAGTAAAATAAAGTAGTGGATGTTAAGAAGAATTTGATGTTTCTCCTCTTATCCCACATTGGAGTTTTATGGGAAACAGGGTTTGGTAACAGTATTCTGAGTTTCAGTGGTATCCAGTGTGGGTATTTTTTTAAGTCTAGTAATCTTGTTGACCAATAATATTTCAAATGGCAAATGGGATATTTAGGGCCTGGAGATTTTTCCAGAATTTACCATGCAGCAGTCTTTTTCGGCCAATCAATGGGTATTTACTGAATGGTCAGGCTGCGTTTAGAACTCACCTACTTACCGTGCAGAACAAAGAAAGAGGAACTGGTTTCTGCCCTCTGGGAGATTTTGATTATATAAGACAGATGAGGCGAAAAGTAGTAAAACATGAAATAGAATGTAAACCATAAGAGTATATGTGGGTCACTATAGCCAAAAGGTGGAAGCAACCCAATGTCCATCAACAGATGAAAGGATAAAGAAAATGTGGTACCTACATACAATGGAATATTATCCCACCTTAAAGAGTAAATTCTGACACATGCTATAACATGGAGGAAACGTGGAGACATTTGCTAATTGAAAGAAGCAAGTCACAAAAGGACAAATATTGTATGATTCTACTTTTATGAGGTACCTCAAATAGTCAAGTAGACAAAAAATAGAATAGTGGTTGCCAGGGACTGGGGCAGGGTAGGAGGTTGGGGGTACAGAGTTTCAGTTTGGAGAGATGAAAAACTCCTAGAGATGGATGGTGGTAATGATTACAGAACAATGTGAAAGTATTTAGGGCACTGAACTGTACAGTGAAAAAATGGTTAAAATAGTAAATTTTATGTTTTATATATTTTACCACAATAAAAAAATTTTTAAAGAGTATATGTATATATAATAAATTCAGACGCATTTTCTTATGTCCCCAGGATGGTTTCCCAGGACCGAGAATCTCCCTTCTGCTTCCAGGCAGATACATCATGACATTACATGAATCTTGTCTGTTAGGTGGCTTGAGGCCACACATGGTACAGCTAGGTCCATTCCAAATTCCCTCTCCATTCCACCTTGCTTTTCCTCTCCCTCTTCCCTTTTGATTCTCTCTCAGCTTTCCTCGTAGCTCTGTCCCCTCTCCTCACATCTGACTCCCAGCCCCAAATCAAAACCAGTTCAGAGAAACTGGATTGCTGAGGCACCAGAGTCCAGATATGAAATTTTTTTCTGTTTTGCTTGCAGTTCAACCTCTGTCCACATTCTTCAGAGAAACCAATTGTAAATTAAGCCGAATTCAGTTCACACAATCTATAATATAAACTCTTCCTAAATTCACATCTCCAAATTATTAGTGCCTTTATTCTATGACTCCTTCAAAAAGCCTTGTGATAATTGAGGCTTGCCCCTATTTGACAACCGTGGGGTTAAAGCAGTTATACTGGAGTTCCCCTGGTGATCCTGGGGGAGAATTCTGACTCTCTCCCTGTGCCCCTCTCTTCCAGTGCACTGCATCCTGTGGAGGTGGCTTTCAGAAGAGGACTGTCCATTGTGTTGCCTCAGAAAACAATAAAACTGAAGACCAGGACCGATGCCTGTGTGATCACGAACCCAGACCCCCAGAATTCCAAAAATGCAACCAGCAGGCCTGCAGGAAGAATGCTGGTAGGTGAATGGCTTTGCTCAGGGGCACAGAGCTTTTCATAAATAAGTTGTCCTGCATGACTTGATTTGTGGGTAGTTTTAGTCCCCTTTTACAGAGCTAAGAATGTTAATGCTGAAGAGGCCAGCCAGCTCCCCTGGGAGCCATCTGTCTGATTCCGTGAGGTTTGACATTAATTCCTTGAGGGATTATCTCATCCATTTTCCTATCTCAAAGCACGTTTACACTGACTTCATCCCACACAAATGAGAATCACTTCCATTTTTTCAAATTTCTGAGAAATGCTCTAACCTTTCTCAGGAACCCAGTCAAGTACTGAATGGACCTTTCTATCAATCTTGCACTGCTGTCTGAGGTCAGGTTCCATAGAAACAGACCCTGAGGTGCAAACTTGTGTGCAAGGGATTCATTCAGGAAGTGCTCCCAAGGAAGATAGCTAAGGGAGAGGGAAACAAGACAGAAAAGGGAGGAAGCACAGCTGGGCAGCCATCTCAGGCACATTCCTAGCTTCAGCCTGCTCCCACAGGGAAGCTCCAGGGTGAAAGTTATATCTCAGAGTTGTCTGCTCTTGAGGCCAATGAGCTGAGAGTTCACATACCTGCACCTTTCAGCCACTGGCCAACAGCTACCCAGGAAAGTGGATTTGCAGATATTTAAGGCTCTCTACCAGTGGTAGTCTTTTTCCAAAGATTCTTAAGGATGAGAGGTAGTGAAACCTGCTGTTTATTAATCTGCTGCTACCTCCTTCCAAGAGCTGAGGGCTGGCATTCAACAGAGACTGCTGTCAGAGTTAATATCCTGAGAAGAGTTTCCCTAAGGATTGTTTATTTACAAATCATGTGTTTATTTAACAGATATTTGCTGGGCACTTACTTTGTGTTAAATATAATGTTAAACAAGGAACAAAATCACCAACCAGTGAGATACTGATCAGGGCAGTAAGGGTGTTATGACAGCACTTGGGAAGGGCATCATATGTAAACTGGGGAGAGGAGGGAAGGCCTCCAGAGGAAGTGAAGGATGAGTAGAGAGGTCATGGGAGAGGTTCCAGGAGCAGCTTTCAGTGTCTGCAGTAAGCAGGAAGAAGATGATGTCGTGGCATATAAGTCTAAATGCAGTACACAGTTCAAGGGGAGTTAGGAAACAGTGGGGCTAGAGGGGTAAGCTGCAGCTAGAGGATAAAGAGCCTCATGAAGCAACGCTGATGAGTTTGGACTTTATCCCTAGGGCAGAAGGGAGCCATTGAAGTATTCCAAACAGGGGAGTGATGATAAGAAAGTCATGCAAGCTGCACTGTGGAAGATAGAGAAAGGAACCAGTTCAGAGAATACAGCTGCACCCCAAACAGGAGGTGTACGTGGCATGAACTAAGGCAGTAGAAGCGCAGATAGAGAGAAGTGAGTGGATTCAAGAGCTACTTAAAAGAGACACCTGACAGGACTTTGTGCTGGGGAAAGAGGAGGGAGAAAAAAGCCCAGATTTCCAACTTGGGTAGCTGAGTAGATGAGGCTACCGTTCTGTGAGAGACGAAGCCCAGGAGTGGGTTTGGGAATGGGGAAAGGTAATGCATTCTGTTTGGGACATGTTTGTTGAGGAGCAGATAAATAATTTAGGTAGGAGTGGTCTGTGATTGGTTTTTACACAGGTGCAGAGGTCAGGAGAGAGGTGTGGGCTGGAAATCCTGAGCACAGTGCACTGAGGGGAAAATGCTTCAGGTCTAATGATCACATGCAACCTCTTTCTGACCAACTTGCATTTGAGGCTGGCTATCATTGACCTTACTTGAGCCTCCAAACAGAGCTACCTAGGGCTCATTTTCAGAGGTATTATTAAGTTTTAGCCTTCCAGACTCTTGCTACTCAGTGTGGTCCCTGGACTAGCTGCATTGGCATCACCTGGGAGCTTGTTAGAATCTCAGGCCTCACCCCAGCCCTACTGAATCAGAATCTGCATTTAAAGAAGATTCCCAGGTGATTTGGATGCACGTTAAAGTTTGAGAAGCACCCTGTTCTATTTTTTTTAATTTTATTGTGGTATAGTTGATTTACAATGCTGCATTAATTTCTGCTGTACAGCAGTGATTCAGTTATACATTTACATATTCTTTTTCATATTCTTTACCATCATGGTTTATCACAAGTTATTGAATATAGTTCCCTGTGCTATGCAGTAGGACCTTGTTGTTTATCCATTCTATATATACTAGTTTGTGTCGGCTAATCCCAAACTCCCAATCCTTCCCTCCCCCATCCCCCCTCCCCCAAGGCAACCACAAGTCTGTTCTCTGTGTCTTTGAATCTGTTTCTGTTTCATAGATAGGTTCATTGGTGTCATATTTTAGAACCCACATATAAGTGATATATGCTATTTGTCTTTCTCTTTCTGAATTACTTCACTTGGTATGATAATCTATAGGTACCTCATTGTAGTTTTGATTTGTATTTCTCTAATAATTAGCAGTGATGAGCATCTTTTCATGAGAAGCACTCTGTTCTAGACCAAGGGGTCAATTTGGGACACTTCCTTTCATGTCATCTCATCACATTCTTTGGTACCATGTTTTTAAAATGCTGAGAGTATAGAATCCTTCTAAGCTGTGATGGTTTTTATATAATTGAGGCAGTTTTTGTCTTTGGCTGTACCACACAGCATGTGGGATCTTAGTTCCCTAACCAGGGATTGAACCCGTGCCCCCTGCAGTGGAATTGCAGAGTCTTAACAACTGGACCATCAGGGAAGTCTTTGTTGGTTATTTTTAAATTATATATACATTGCACTGCCCAGAAATAAGACAGTTGAAGACAATTTTCAATCATCAAAATTGGGTTAAATGCATATTTGGTATTTTTTACATTGAAATCTCATACTGAAGAGATGATGACTAATGGTTAGCTGACAATGGATGTAAATAAAAATGAATTCCACTCACCAAAAATTATCAGGGCAACAAAAGGTAGTTACAAGTTTCACTCGAAGGCAGAGTCATGCTTACTCATAGAGAAACAACAGGAAAGAGCAGCTGCAAGAAATTCCTTGATTTAAAAAAAGCCGACCACCCACCCTGACCCCTGTACCCTCTAAAATGCTTTGAAAATAAGCCATTCAATGACCAGATTCTTCTCAGCCAGCCAGCCATCACAGTAAATATGCCCCCATGCCCATCTTGTAAAATCAGGTATGAATTCCTGTAAGGTTTGTTTTCCTCCAGGCCATTTTACTTTCTTTAGGTGCCGTCTAAATTGTTAATGACTTAAAATCTAAATCAGAACTACTATTTCCATAGTGGGAGCTATAGAACTCTTTCCAAGCATATGGGTTAAAAGAACATCAAAATATACAAACAGCTCATGAAGCTCAATATCAATAAAACAAACAACCCAATCAAAAAATGGGTGGAAGATCTAAATAGACATTTCTCCAAAGAAGACATACAGATGGCCAACCAACACATGAAAAGATGCTCAACATCACTAATTATTAGAGAAATGCAAATCAAAACTACACTGAGGTATTATTACCTCACACCAGTCAGAATGGCCAACATCAAAAAAATCTACAAACAATAAATGCTGGAGAGGGTGTGGAGAAAAGGGAACCCTCCTGCCCTGTTGGTGGGAATGTAAATTGATACAGCCACTGTGGAGAACAGTATGGAGGTTCCTTAAAACACTAAAAATAGAACTACCATATGACCCAGCAATCCCACTACTGGGCATATACCCTGAGAAAACCATAATTCAAAAAGAGTCATGTACCACAATGTTCACTGCAGCTCTATTTACAATAGCCAGGACATGGAAGCAACTTAAGTGTCCATCGACAGATGAATGGATAAAGAACATGTGGCACATATATACAGTGGAATATTACTCAGCCATAAAAAGGAACGAAACTGAGTTATTTGTAATGAGGTGGATGGACTTAGAGTCTGTCATACAGAGTGAAGCAAGTCAGAAAGAGGAAAACAAATACTGTATGCTAACACACATATATGGAATCTAAAAAAGCAGTACTGATGAACCTAGTGGGAGGTCAGGAATAAAGACACAGACATAGAGAACAGACTTGAGGACACAGCAGGGTAGGGGAAGCTGGGACGAAGTGAGAGAGTAGCACTGACATATATACACTACCAAATGTAAAACAGATAGCTAGTGAGAAGCTGCTGCATAGCACAGGGAAATCAGCTCGGTGCTTTGTGATGACCTAGAGGTGTGGGATAGGGAGAGTGGGAGGGAGATGCAAGAGGGAGGGGATATAGGGATATATGTATACATATAGCTGATTCATTTTGTTGTACAGCAGAAAGTAACACAACATTGTAAAGCAATTATAGTCCAATAAAGATATTAAAAAACAAAGAAAAACAAAAGGGCAACATGCACCCCAGTGTTCACTGAAGCACTATTTACAAAAGCCAGGACATGGAAGCAACATAAATGTCCATCAACAGATGAATGGATAAAGAAGAAGTGGTACATATGTACACAGTGGACTATTACTCAGCCATAAAAAAGAACAAAATTGGGTCATTTGTAGAGACATGGTTGGACCTAGAGACTGTCATACAGAGTAAAGTAAGTCAGAAAGAGAAAAACAAATATCATCTATTAACACATATATGTGGAATCTAGAAAAATGGTACAGATGAATCTGTTTGCAAGGCAGAAATAGAGACACAGGTGTAGAGAGCAAATGTATGGACACCAAGGAGGGAAAGCGGGGGTGGGATGAATTGGGAGATTGGGACTGACATTTGTGCACTGCCATGTGTAAAACAGATAGCTAGTGGGAACCTTCTGTATAGCGCAGGGAGCTCAACTTGGTGCTCTGCAGTGACCTAGATGGATGGGATCGGGGAGGAGTGGGAAGGAGGTCCAAGAGGGAGGGGATATATGTATACATGTAGCTGATTCACTTCATCATACAACAGAAACTGACACAACATTGTAAATCAACTATACCCCAATTTTTTAAAAAGTCAAAAAATTCATCCAGAAAT